TGTAGTATTGGTTATAGATGAAATGTCACAGTAGAAGGTGATATTGTGGTATTGGTTATAGATGAAATGTCACAGTAGATGGTGATATTGTAGTATTGGTTATAGATGAAAGGTCACAGTAGAAGGTGATATTGTAGTATTGGTTATAGATGAAATGTCACAGTAGAAGGTGATGTTGTAGTATTGGTTATAGATGAAATGTCACAGTAGAGGGTGATATTGTAGTATTGGTTATAGATGAAAGGTCATAGTAGAAAGTGATATTGTAGTATTGGTTATAGATTAAAGGTCACAGTAGAAGGTAATATTACAATATTAAGATGCCGCCATTATAAATGAGATATAACTTACAAAACGAGAACACATTAAATTATTGGAAAATCAAAAATCCAGGAAGGAGAGGGTTGAGGTTTGTGGATTCTTTGGATGATTAGATTTGAACTTTTCTTCTATTCTCTATTCGATATTGCTTGTTGTTATTTAATTCACAAAGAAAATGACCGCCCACCGCACGAGCAAGTTGTTAACCGAGAAGAAGCTTTCGGCAGCGAGCAGATTTCCTTATGGTTGGTCAATTAATCAAGCGGTTTATCAGGTTGAAATGACGTATTATGACGTGGCAGAATCTCATAACCTTCCAAATCTGAACTCAAACTAATCTTATTGAGTACAATCAAATTAAAAACAAAATATTCTGAACGTTTAGACACATACGTACAATAAATTTATAAACTCACTTATTTTAGATAGTCATTTCATAATACGTTGTATACACACCATAGAACGTCGTGAAAATTCAGGATTTCAAAACCCACGGGCGGGTTGAGATAACAACTCAACCGTCATCATTGTTCGTTTTGGCATCTATATAAACCTGCTTATCAGGAACAGTGGGAAAAGACAAGCTTCTGGGTAACCGGTTTGGAAAGTCATATTAGTAATCATGGTGTTAGAAGATATTCCTCTACACTGGGGCGACGTTTGTGTTATTGTTGGATATTTCCTTTGTGTCCTCGGTGTCGGTTTGTGGGTGAGTAACTAAATAGAATGTATCTTATTTTAGTATTCAAGTATAAGTATATAATACAATTAAATATTCTAACTATTATGTTGCTAAAACCGAAAGCATAATATCTTTTAACCACGTTTTATTCCGTTTTCTTTGTCTGTTGTTAAACTCAAAGCTCGACAATGAGCTACCTTTGCTGTGCCCACTATGGGTATCGAAACGCGGTTTTTTTAGCGTTATAAGCCTGCAGTACTTTTATAGATTTTAACACTTATGAATGGACTTATACCACATTCAATCTTCTTATTTATTTATTTATCTCGAGCACCTTTCGACTCTTTGGACCCTTGGTGTGCAAACTAAGCATATAACTTAGATCTGAAAGTACAAGTTTCTAAAACTACCGTACAAGTATGACTAGTTATTAATTAATATAGTAATAACATTAACATGTCACGTGCAGTACATACACAAATAGTTATGCGCAACGAAATTCATCTTCACAACTTTCTCTCGAAGTGTCATAAAAAAAACAAAAAAACGCCAAGTTCGCGCAAAATTTCTAAGACTAATTGACGGCCCAAGGTGCAGGTTCGGAAGATTGTAAATATAAAGTAATTGACGATCCAAGGTTCAGGTTTGGAAGCTTGCAAACAAAAAGCTATTTACGGCCCAAGGTGCAGGTTCGGAAGATTGTAAATATAAAGTAATTGACGATCCAAGGTTCAGGTTCGGAAGCTTTCAAATAAAAAGATATTTACGGCCCAAGGTGCAGGTTCGAAAGCTTGTAAATGTAAAATAATTGACGGCCCAAGGTGCAGGTTTGGAAGCTTGTAAATAAAAAGTTACTTACAGCCCAAGGTGCAGGTTCGGAAGCTTGCAAATAAAAAGTAGTTGACGGCCCTAGGTGCAGGTTCGGAAGATTGTAAATAAAAGGTAATTGACGGCCCAATGTGTAGGTTCGTAAGCTTGTAAATAAAAAGGAAAAGTACATTTATTTATATGGTGAAACACATATAGATATTAAAACTAACAGAATAATTTACTGAAAAAATACGACACTGCAGGGTTGTTTTGAACGTGGGAGTTTTAGTATAATGTTTCCTGTTCACCACAACGTAATAACATTGCTATGTGTATTTCAAGTGAAAAAACCAACAACATTTGGCAGAAATGTTATAGGTAGGTCTATCTGGATAGTTCTTCATTCAGATATATTAATAAAATACAAAAATTCCATTTCTTTTTTGTACTGGCAATGTTTTAAACCCGACGCCTGCAATCCATAACGTAGTTATAGATGTGTTTTTGATGACGTCAACATATAACCATACAGCAGCTCAGAAAAATTACTCCCCATCAAAACCCTTCACAACCAGCTCACTTCCCTATGGCAACTCTGTGGGCTTACATAGATAGCCCATTATATAACTTTGAGTTTAACAACAAACAAACACAACTAGCGCAACACAGCCTCGCAAGCCCCTTTCATATTTACACAATTATACAGAAAAGTTTATTATAAGTTAAGGTGTAGAGAAGTAGATGGATGAACATGCATGTAAATTATTGACGGTATATCGTGATATGATCTAGAAAATTTATAAAAACAAATAAAATAGCATTCATCCTTCATTAAATCAATTCTTTGTAAAACAAATGACTAATTTGATTTTAGATGTCAAGATAAGTTAATTTTTTTCTTGATGTAGTAATGTTCCATAAAATTCCATTTTATTCATTATTGCAGTCTTCCAAGAACAGCAATCGGAACAGCATCAGTGGCTACTTTCTGGCCAGCAGAAATATGCATTGGATCCCCGTAAGTTAAACTCAACACAAAACTTTACTTTAGGAACAACACGTGTTTGCATGTGGTGTTATTATTTTGTAACTATAGACAATTATCGATTTGTTTCTTTTGAGTTTCGCGCAAAGCTACACGAGGGCTATCTGCGCTAGCCGTCCCTAATTTAGCAGTGTAAGACTAGAGGGAAGGCAGCTAGTCATCACCACCCACCGCCAACTCTTGGGCTACTCTTTTACCAACGAATAGTGGGATTGAAATTATAACGCCCCCACGACTGAAAGGGCGAACATGTTTGGTGTGACGGGGATTCAAACCCACGACCCTCAGATTGCGAGGCGAGCGCCCCCTAGCCACGCCGGGCTATCGATTTGTTATGAACTCCTATTCATGTGTTATTCCTTTTGTTCGTAACCTAGTTCAGAGGTTCTCAAACTTTGGTAACTCGAGGATCCTCTTTAATTGAAATATTTTTCGCGGACCCCTAAACATATCGATGTTTTTAATTAAAAAAAAAAAAATCCGTGTACATGAAAATCTGCGTTCCGAAATTAAATGTTTTTATTCATTTAAATTTAATTTTACGAACAATATTTTTTATTCTATAGGTCATATTTTAAAAAAAATATCTTTATGAAATTTCGGACATGACTCGCAGACTTCAGTTTGAGAAATACTGTTTTAGTTGTGTTTATTGTAACTTCACTGAATCATGCCCCCCAATGGCACAGCTGTATGTCTTTCGACTTACAATGCTAGAAACCGGGTTTCGATACCCGTGCTGGGAAGAGTAAAGATAGCCCATTGTGTAGATTTGTGCTTAACTTCAAACAAACAAACAAATACTGAATCATTATAAGTGATTTGGCGTTCTCGCCAGCGTATCCAGCGACAATAGGATTGCAATCCTTGCATTACATAAAAGTATTTAAGTTAATCAAAGTCCTGAGATAATTTAAGTCCAGTGATGTCAAAGAACTTCATATAAAACCTTTTTATTTTTTCGTTAGTTGTATATATATTTTACTTTTACAAATGATGATTTTGTAGATGAGGTATAACTGTGGTGACGTCACTGAAGTTTCTTGAATAGTTTCTAGATGTGTACGTACGTAACAATAATGGTTATGCGTTTCATTAAAACGATTTTGGAGCCTCACCATGTCGTTACAGCCCATGTCGCCACGTTCGGCCATGCTCTGTCTGACAACCGTGGATCTTGACAATCGCCCTACATCGTAGTTTCCATTGCATAAGGTTCCGTCGTAAGACTGTCATGTCCAAAGAACACCACTCATTTTTTTAACCCATCTAGTATACGAGAACGACTGTTTCTCAGTAATCGTTTCAACAGTTCGTTCAAAGAGAAATCCGTAGGCGCTACTTTCGGCGACTTGATTGGTAAATCTTGGTATGAATACCCGTTTCACCCTTCAGCTGCTTGAGGTATGCAACGGTTGAACAGGAAGTATTACTGGAAGCCTTATGTTGGCGAACCCATACCATGTTGACCTCGTTTCCAGGATGAGAGATCCTTCTTGATCATATTGAGAGTAGTGGACGGTTTTTACCACTGACCTGTGTGTTCGAGGATTTTCATCTGTTAAAATACACCGTTTATCATGGCTAGGGTACGACTTGTTGCAGGTTTTTTTGTTGTTGTTTTTCTGGAAGGTCCTATATCCTCTAGTTGATCCATATGCTTTTATTTTTCAATGTCATTAAATATAAGGGATATTCTCGTCTTGGAAATTTTAAATCCCCGATTTGAGCATGTCTTTATGATGTGAGTGTATAAATATTTTGTATTAGAAAGTTACATACTCTTACCAAAAGTGCTTAATTTTTGGCGGCATCACACGAAATGTCAGAATGTAGTTCTGATACATTCCGTTCCGCCGTGACTTTAGATTGGTTGTGGTTGTAAGGTAACTTGCTCATTTGGATTTTCAAAATTGTTTTGATACGACATAATCAACCCTCTGTATAGTGCACATAATCTCTTTCGAACTGTTTTTGAATGTGAATATTAATCTATAAAATAATTGGAACTTCCACATTTATATGTAAAGTAAAATCCAATGACTATGACAATTTTTAGGTGAAAATGTTTATTGCAAAATTCACAATAAGCACGTCTCCATGAATACCAGGGCTGGATGTATTCTAACGATTAGCGTGCCGAGCTACGGATCGAAAGGTCCAAGGTTCGAGACGTAATGTCACTGAAACTCTTCACTTTCAGCTCTGTGCACGTTATAAACTTTACTGTCAATCCTGTTAACCAGTTCAAAGAGTAGGGCAAAGACCTTGTGCCGATAGGTGTCTATGGCTGGTTACTCCCTCTCTGTCAACTATCACTCAAAATTAAGGACTGATGTGCGTGTATTCAATGGGTCCTGACCGGTCATTTAGTCCACATCCAGGTAGACAGTTTCACATCTTTCACTAAGGCAACGCCGTCGTCATTGTCAGCACAATTTTTAAGACTTCTCTTTCTTCTAGCTTCAATAATTTATTATTCTAACAATAATTATTATGAGTCTAAATGAATAATGTTAAATACGAAAACTCATATAATTTATAGTCACAGGAGAAGATATAACTTTCTGCTAAACAAAACCGTTACTGGAGTAAGGCATGTTTACTTCCTATCAGTTTAAGGATAGGAAATCAAAGCTTGATTTCATCGACCTCTACCAGTTATTTTTCGATTTTTTGTTTTGCATTATGGGATTAATGACACGAATCACACACTAAAGCACTCAATTCTTGTTAGCTAGTTATCAGTTAGTTTCATAACTGATAGTAACAAATCCAGTCTGATAACTCGAAAGGAACAAACTTACACGAATATATATATATACTTATAATAAACGTATTACGTATGTAATGTTCCAGATACTGTTCCAAACACAAACTGCACAGATGTATGTTTACTCAGAACGTCAATATCTTATCGAAAAGCACTTGACTATCTACAAATATTCCATAGTGACCTTTGCTATTACTCTTAAGTTCAGATTAGATAACTCACAAAAAAACTTAGTTAGATATATCAGAAAGTGTAAACAGTAAACAAGACAATTTGGTTCAGTAAAATCCTGCCCGTTGAGAAGGCTTTGGAGCTGCAGTTTGACCTCCCGGACTGACCCCCTCTATCACATTCATAAAATAATAATAATGTATAAAATTTATGATGTATCTTAGTAACAAGTTTAGATGATAATATAATTAATAGTTTTATATTACCTAAGTGGTACTGCAAATGCAAGTACTGTCAACAAATATTCAAGTACATTTCTATTTATAAATGGCGAATAAAACAAAAGTGTCTTATGTCTTATTGTCTTTGTCCTCTGGGATCATAAATGCAACATTCATTTATTTAAAATAAATTAATACGTCTTGATACACTAAACAGAAATAAATCTAAAATACTTTCAACTAAAAGTAGTGTGCAAGTGTTTTTGTTTTAATAAGTTTTCTCTCCAGTCAAGATGAAAAAAATACATGTAGCTGCCATAAAAAATCTAAAACTACTAGAAACAAGTATATTGTTACGTCTCCGTTTGTTAATTGATTTTTTCCGTAACTTCGTTCCAACGAAATGTTAACGACACAGGTCTTTACTTAAT